AGAAGCACTTGGACCATAGAATCTGCGTCTTTTCACCAGGAAATTTTGGAAAGCTCTCACTACATGATCTTTAAAGTTCCTTCTACTAATGATTACATTCTATGATTCAGCTTTCTCGCCGGAGTAAGCTCAGAATTTCTAGAGCAACTGCCTCTCTGTTTTATAGACTGGGGTATCACTGTAAATATTATAAACATTGTAAGGATCTGTGGCTTTCCATGGAGAAAGGGCAGAAGAATGGATAAATGTTCCAACCCCCGGTTATCCTCTTTGGAATGTAAAATTTAATAGATGAGCTCTCTGATATCAGTTTTTAAAATTCTATTTGCAGAAAAGATACTCTATATCCAAAGTGCCTGTATTACAAATACAAGTCTCAGCATCAAAGACGGAAAATAATAGATGATGCTATCTCCCAAGGATAGAGTAGAGGAAAGCAAAACTCACTACTATAAATGTAGAAACTTCATATCTTCTCAGTAGCTTTCCTAATAAAATAACAAGTTATCCAGCTGGTCAGAGGTAGAATGTGGATTCCCCCACCCCTTAATATTTTATAATTAAATTTATTATTTCCATCATTTCATGGCTCAAAAGCATTGGAGGCACCACTATAACCATTAAGTTCAATCTTAATGTTATGGATTTGATGAAATAACATGTTATGATGTTGTAGAGCTATGATAGTTTGATCTTCTAACTGCGAAAACTAAGGAAATAAGGGAAGCTTGAACAGGTCCTGAAATGGCATACATAATATTTTCTCCCAAAAACAAGCCTAAAATTAATTTGAATTCATGTATGACATGACGTACTTAAATATTTTTTCTAAAAATTGACCTTGAACAAGTAGAGCCCTCAATATACTACTGTTCATTTTATCTATGTCTATGTCTTATATAAAGGGTCAGAGCAAATAGCTATGGTTTGTGCATTGTGTACAAGCAGCAGCCTGAGGGGGTAAATGGGATTGAAATCCATTTTAGTTATAGACACACTGCTGTGCTTCCCAGTATTAGTAACATCCTCACCAAACCTACCCTCCATCCAAGGAGTGTCTTCAGGCTTGAACAAAGGAACGGTCTTCAAATCAAGCTCATGCCATGCTGCTTTTCCCACTGGAGGGAGTGCCTTTATTTGATGGGCATATAGGCTATCTGGGGCCTTATATGGCTAATTATCATACAGGATAGCAGTGGCAATCCAGACTTGCAGTGACCTCATCGATATACCAGCAAATACAGTATTTGACATTTCCAACATGTTTCTGGGGGCAGATTTAAAATTCACTGAGTTCTGATGAGCCAAGATTTTAGTATGGTGCAATGGATAGTGGGTAATAACTGATGTTTTTCTAAAAATATTGGAATCTTTCCAGGTGAAGGTTGTGGGCTCTTAAAATTTTCTGGAACCCAAGGATATGGCTGTTTGGAAATTTCTTGAAAAATAATGCCCAACATTTGTAAAGAAACACAAGAATTATCTCCCATAAAAGAAACAATAAGACTCCTGAAAATTAAAGTTTCCAGCTTAACTTTGATTCATGGTTCAAAGAGTGGTACAGATTGCTAAATATTTTGCAGATCTGAGTGGATCAATATGTTAATGTGTTTCAGTAACATTAGATGGCTACTTTTAAAACCACAGTATCAGAATCTAAATATAGGAGTATTACATAAAAGGACTGGAAGAAGATCCTCCTATAATCAGCATTATTAACCAACCACTGAAAGAATAAAGTAGGCCCGCAGCATAGTATGGTTGTAGAGAACTGGGAAGATCTGGAAAAATCAAATTCCAACACGACTGTTTATCTGATGATATACTTCAAGATGACCACAAATCTGATGTGATTTCAGGGATTCAGCAAAGCCTTTCCCACCTCCCTTGCTTCTTATCTTTCCCCAATACTTGTATTTGTTTGATGATGCCTGATGATCTAAGATTCATATTCACTACTTTGGCTTAAAGGTTCTCCTGCTGTTAAAATGCAAACACTGGGATGGGAAGAACATTCACTAGGCATCAGTTAGTTCACAGAGACCAGCAAGCACGCTTTGATAGGGAGAAGAATACAAGGGACCCCAGAATGGGGGGAGGTGCCAATGAGATGGAAAAAGGGTAGAGACAGTTTCAGGTGCAATTCTGAGTGGGACTGACTTTACTCCAGAGATCAAAATAATTTTCTGTAATTGACTTTGCCTAAGAAATGGTAATCTGGCTTAGAGATGAGTGTAGGTCTGGTCTGATTTCTACTTCCATCCCTACTAGCCATGTTTACTTGGACAAAACTCTAGTTTCTCCAAGCTCCAATTTTCTCCTCAACAAATATTTAAGTGTCTAATACATTTCAGACATTTAAAAAAAATAAAATCATGATGATTACAGTACCCATCTTCTAGGATTGTACAATAAATAAATGGGGGTAGTCTTAAACAGTGCTTATTGTGTGCGTGGCACAGAGTAAGAAAAATCTTATGGAGCAAATAATCATACAAATGGTCCCTTAAATTTGTAAATCCTGCACAGTTTACAGAGCACCTTCACATCTATTACCTCCTTATGGAATCCTGTGTTGGAACTAGCCAGATAGTACCCTGTTTTATAGATGAAGAACCCAAACGAAGGTTGGCACAATTCACTTTCTTGGTTGTACTTCCTACTGAAGAGGGTGGCCAGCTAAAATGTGCTTAGTTGGCCAAATGCTTCATATTTATTAATTATTCCCATTTTAATCAGTGGAGAATCTTGGCAAGGCTTAGAGAAATTTTGATTTTGTTTTCTGAAGCTTGTAGTAAAAAAACATGCTTTCAGGAAAAGTATGAGTTGGCCAAATTTTTGTACATATTGATAAAGGGATAAAAAGTTACTTGACACAAGGAAGAACATACTGGATAATTTAATCTCCAATAGAAAAAAAACTATTGTAAGGGTCTTGCTGGTGTTCATCTTCATTTAAGTATTGGAAAATTTAAGGAAGGAAGAGATTTAGACTGGAAGTAAGAAAAGCTTTGACCTTGCAAAGTTTCTTAAATTTTGGAAAAGCCTATCACATTTGGAAAAAACCCATGGAATCTCTCTCACCAGATATATTTAGCAATCTTGGATGGTCATATAAATTGGAATTCTATTCAGAGGAAAATTGAACCAATTTTGAAATGGCTCTTGAAATGACCCCTTCCATCTGGTTCTATGATTCAGCAGATATTTAGATGATTTAGTGGTAGGAAAGGAAAGTTCTAACATTACATTTGTTCTAATCATTTTCAACTAAACAAATATTTGCTTTAAAAGCAGCAAAAATGAAATGAATATATTTTAAACATTCCACTGGACACTGAGACTATGTCCCACACCCTACTGAGCAAAACCTTTTCTGTAGTCAGACTATCCCAAGCCTTTCATTGGCTGCCTGGGAGAAGCATTTATCAGTATGCAAGGACAGTAGGTATTGCTAAAGGATTTTCAACACTTTGCCAAGCAAAAGACTCCAGGAATAAGACTTGTACATAAATAAACAGGTTGTTGAAAACACATATGCTGTGCTTTCTACATGACTTAAAATTTTGGTTCAAATGAAAACCTTCCTAGAATGACTTGAACATCAGAGCTCATTCACTATGGTGTGTAACCTTGCTGAGTTGTTGTTTTTAAATTCAGCAAAATACCATATGTGCCTGTTAACTTGGTGTGTATGTGTGAAAATGCTCATTCATCCCTGCAATAAAAGGAAGATAAGAAACAAAGATAACTTCTTTAACTAAGGCTAGGATTAAGTCCAGGGGAGACACTTAAGTGAGCAGGTTTACAACTGCCTTCTAGTCTATAGATATTGGCATGGACACTGAATTTATAAAAGGTATTGAGTTCTTTTAATGACCTTCTGTGGCCAGGAAATCGTTTTTTACCCCATTTGACTCAATTTATCTTTAGCTACATAATGACATTAAACTACCAGAAAGCAAATGAATTTGGATTCTTTAAAAAAAAGTCAATGTCATGAAAAAGGAGAGACTTTTCTAGAATAAAATATGCTACATAAACATAACAAACAAATGTAATCGTTGATTGCATCCCTGTTTTTACCAAACAATTAATACATTTTTGGTAAAATATTTGGCACAATGCCTTAGGGAAGCTTAAGTACTTTCTTAAGGGCTAAAATTTAAAATAGAGAAACTTACAAGGGAAGAGCATGCAGTTCCTAGTTATAAAATACGTTCATCAGCCTGATTCTTTAATTACAACTTTTTTGGAGTTCACAGTATGTTGTTTCCATCAATCCCTAATCAGAAGTTTGAGTCACCAAAATAAATCTGCAGGATTTATACACACAGTTTGCTATTGAGGAGTGTGATATATGACACCCTCTGCCCTTTAGCTGCTGATGCATCTCCAGCTTTTCCAAGCCAAAAGCAGAGCCCAAGATTACAGCAACATATATTTAAGGGTGTGTTTTTGCAGATACTGGTTGGGACATGAAGACAAATGTAGGAGTGATTAAATGTTGGGAACAAAATGGAAACTTCACTGGGGAAAGAAAACATTTCTGGGAGAAGTTTCACTTGAATGCATAACCCTATCAGTTTAACCACTGAGATGGTATACACAGGGTGTGTGTGGGGATATCTCCACAAAATGACATGGAAACCTCTCTGCAGGTCTTTAGAGGATGTGGAGGTGTCTTGGCGGCGGATCATCTTGGAAGACTGGGATTTCTTGCGCACTTCAGGGAGAAATGATGAAAGCAAAGGGAATCCATCCAAGGTAGATTAACTGAATCCGTTCTGCTATTCGTGAATTCAAAGTAGATTCTCATCAGATCTGCCCTCTAGCTACTGATTGCCAAACCAGCACTAAGCAGGATTCCCCAAGCTGCTTAATCACTCCCTGCCATTCTCTGTCCAGGACATTTTCCTGCCTCACCCCGCAATCCGTGTTTCACTCTTCCCTGGCTGAGCGCTGCTTGGCCAGCCACTCGGAGAGACGGACTCCCCAAGCGGCGGGCAGGGCGCCCACCTCATCCTCAACACGGCGTGCAGCGTGGGAGGAGGTAAAGGAGCCCCCTACTTGCTGAAAACTTCCTCCTGTAAGATGACTGGGGTCTTCGGGCTTCCCCAGCCCTCCCACGCCCGGCCACGGGGCATTCATTAAAGTGGTGCCGCAGCGATTGCAGGTTCTGAGCTGCAGAGACCCGGGCGCCCCGCAGCGACGCTTCTCGGAGACAAACAGCTCCCCGTGCCCCCTAATGTGCCCGGGACCGCGGCCGGCGCGGGCCTGGGGGCGGGCACGGCGAGCTCAGAGACTTTGCGCCACGATGCTTTGTTTTCCTGCCGCAGAAACCCGAGGCGGTCTCTCTCCACCAGACTTAACCCGCCCGCAGCAATAGCGATGGAAGTGGCGGCAGCGCAGACCGACAGGGAACCGCTTGGCGCGGCGCCTTTTTTGGATGCTTTTTCTCTACACAGGCCACTTCTTTCCTCCTTCCTGGGGTAAGTGGACTCTAGTCTGTGATAAGGAAAGGGTCTAATAGAAGGTGATGGAAGGGGATTGCAGTAGTACGAACGGTTACTATGCTTAAGTTGCCTTTCTTGAGGGGTATCTCCCTATGTCCCACTCCTCCACCCCCACCACCCTCCTTGCAGTCCATCCCAAATACGCAGTTCAGGAGTTGGACTTGATTTTAGGCATGTTGGGGGTGTATGTGTGCTGGAATTAATTAATTTTGGGAAGACACCCCCCCCAAACTTGTTTTTGTCTGTATTCTGAGAAGGGAGAATAAAAGTAGAAGTGAGAGAAAGCCACGGAATTTTTTTGGGGGTGGGTGGGTGGGTACGACTGAGTTAGGGGAGATGATCCTAACGGTCAAGGACTACTCCAAGTCTGAACCCCACATCAGACACTCTAGACCCCTGATCCTGCCCCCTCATCTCAGTAGGGTCATCACAGACATCCCCAGTCCCCAAATGATCAGTCCTCTGATGTTTTTCTGGGAAGGTTTTCCAGGGCCCATAATAACTTCTGAAGAAAACCTGCAACCAATCCTGTTCAGAAGAGATGCTCAATGAATGTTTATTGATTGGCTGAATGATGCCTGTAAGGCTGCATTTTGTGCCATGGGAATTTGCCTCAGACAGTTAGCTGATTCCCTGGTGTAGACCCCAGGGCAGCAGGATAGCCCACTTTATTTTGCAAAGGAGGAGGGTATGAAGTCTTAGATAATATAGTATGTAGATCTTTGTTACCCAGAAGATTGCAAATGGCAGCTTCAGGGTCAGATCCATGGGTCCAGTTAGGTACAAGACGAGCTCACTTGTGTTTGAGTCTGTGTTGTGACCTTGGGCATCAGAGAATCTGTTTACCTTTCAAAGCCTTGATCTTCTCATCTGTAAATGAGGCCAAGTTAGAGCTTCTTCAGAGTGATGTAGGGAAGAAGAATGGAGAGAAGTAGGAGATAGTGACAGACCATTTGATGTATGTTAGTCTCACTTCCCCGTCCTCAGTGGCTTCAGAAGAGAGGGTATCTATCTTTGTGGACACCTCTACTGGGCTGCAGCCCTCCTGCCCAGGAGCAGGTAAGGAGAGGGCAGAGTGAGGCACTGCAGGTTCTCAGCAGTATAGAAGCAGCTCCCTTTGGGTGCTGGAACAGAATTTCCATACATATTGGTGTCTCTGGGGCATGGCTGGAGGCACAGAAACTCCTTGTCTGTCTCATTTCCATGTCTCATCCGTCCTCTTGGCCTTCTTTCTAGTAGAGGGAAGCAAAGTGTGGCAAATGGGGGCCCAGAGAAGATGGCTTTGAAGCACTGGGGAACCAGAGCTGGATCAAGGGGCTGAAGAGTCAGAGCAGTGCCATCAGATTGGTGCCAATGTTGCTGAACAGGGACTGCAGAGAACTCAAGGTTCTAGCCCCCACAGTCTGTAGGGTCGCTAACAAAACACCAATCCTTTCCACAGACCACAGAGGATATCTGTGGATCCTGCTCCGGGACTCAGAAGCCTGTATGTGACAACTCGGATGGGTCATGAAAAAGATGCTGCTCTAGCAGGGCTCTCCAGAACCCTCAAGGTGCCCTAGAGTGGCATGCATTCAGAGAACAACTGCTAGGGTAGCCCTTAGGGCCGTGAGCTGGAGAGTCACTTCCTCTTTCCTAAGTAAAGGCAGCAGAGAATCTTACTCGACCTCACATCACTAGACAGTAAGCCCCAAGACAACAAGGTCCATCTCTGTCTTGTTCTTTGCCATATTGCCAGCACAGTGATGTAGGTGTTCAAGATATATGTCCCCTGGACAGTGAATGGACAGCAACTGAAACGACTTTATGTTGAACACTGCTTCATGCAACTCATGCCTTCATTTAGCAAGTATTTCTTGAGCATTTACTGCGTGAAAGGCTCCATTCCTAGACGTCCGAAGTAATTTGTAAGCATCATTCACATTGGTATTTCCAGTAGCCCATTCAAGAGCATCTCAGCACCACCTGGCTCTTGTGGAGGTTGAGGCCCCACAGCAAGTCACTGTGCGGCTTCGGGCGGGACAGCGAAGGTGGGGGTTGGGGAATGTGCCAGGTGTAACCTCTCTCCGGGAACGTGTCTGGGACCCCTTCGCACCTGCCGCTGCTAGACCTGCGGGCCCCTTGGGCTGCCGCTCGCCAGAGCCGCCAGGTCTTGGCAATACCGTTTTCCTCCGGGGCTGCGGCGCCTCTCTCCAGCTCCCTCCCAGGCCTCCAAGCGGAGGCCCCCGCCGGGCTGCAGGAGGAGCGACCGGGCTGCGCCTGGGGAGCGAGCTTTCCCGGGCGGGGAGAGCGCGGACGACTCCGAGCGGTCCCAGAACAAAAGGCTCATGGCTGGCACCCGCCTGCTCGCAGGGCGCTGAGGCCGTGGGTTCGGGGCGCAGGCGGGACAACCAGGCGCGGGAGTAAAAAAAATGAACTGAGAAAAGAAGGGGGTGTGTGCCCTGGTGGGAGCGGTGACAAGAGGTTCACCCCCCTCCCACCCCGGGCAGTGGTCTGCGGCAGCGCCGCCGCGGCCCTTCCTCCGCCTCCCGCAGCGCCTTCCAGGCAGCCAAGCGTGTCTCCGGCTGCAACTCCACCGCGCGCCGCGGCCGCCTCCACGCCTGCCCGCCCGCCGGCCGGCCGAGCCAGTAAGTAGCGGCGCGCCCGCCGCCCGCTGCCCGGCCCACGGCGTCCTCCCGGCCACCCCGCTGCCGCCCCGCGCCGCCCCACGGGCAAGTCCGCAGCCTGCCGCTGCCCCAGGCCGGGCGCGGGCGCCTCCACCCGCTTCGCGCTCTCCTTCCGAGGCGCGGCGCCTACCGCGCGCTCCTCGGGTGCCGCACCACCCCTACGTCCAATGGCTTTCGCGGGGTGGGGAGCGGGGGGCGTCGCCCAGGGGCGAGGAGCCGCGGCCGGGGTGGGGCGTGCGCGCTCTGCGCGGCCAAGCGAGGCTGGCGTGCCCGGCTGAGCGCGTGCCCGGGCTTGCGTGTGCGAGTGTGTGTGCGCGGGAGTGTGTGCGCACACGCCTTCAGGGGCTGGAGTGACACTGCCGTGGGCTTCTCCCTTGCGCCGGCCCTCCGGCTGCTCAGTCCCCAACCTACCGCATCTGGGAAGCTGCTTGGCGCTTGCATCCTCCCGAGCCTCCCTAACCACCATATCCCTCGCCGATCTTACTTTTCCTATTTCCCAGGGGCTGCCGCCACCCCTCACTCGGTGCAAACCCCTAAGCTGTTTCCAGTTCTCTCCTAAGCCAGTATTTTCCACTTGTCTTTCTCTGGTTCCTCCACGAGCCAGTCCAAGGCTTCCCCATCCTTGGAAATTGTTTTGTTGGACTGCTGTACCGAGGCGTGTAAAGCTTGAGGACTTTACTATTATTTTCCTTCTTTTCATTTCCTCCCCTCTGGGCAACGGAGCAATGAAATTTCCAATCGAGACTCCAAGAAAACAGGTGAACTGGGATCCTAAAGGTTGGTATTTCCTACTTTTGGCCGCCCTCGCCCTCACCCTGCCTGCATCTCCTGCGTGTGCGCGCTTCCATGAGTGGAAACACTCTTGCTCCTGGCAGCGTGTGTCCTGAGGCTGGAGAAAGCGCCTGGGAACTGCAGCGCGGGTGGAGGGAGGGCGGAGGCAGCGTGGGTTCCAAACCCAGTTAGTGTCTGTCATTATCACATAATTATTGACCCTCTTGGATTGTTTCAAAATCTATTTAAAGATACACCCAGCCCTCTGTTTGGTTGAAATTGCACGAAGTATCAGTATTTGCTATTGATTTTGTGTGTACCAGTGTGTGTGTGTGTCCTTTGTTTCTGGTGATCTTTGTCTCTCTGGCAGATGGGTGGGGTGTTTCCCCCTGGACCTGGAGCTGCGCTGCCTGCCCAGGGTGTCCTCGGTGGAAAGGTTTCCTGGCAGCAAGTGGGGCTTGGATCTGCAGCAACGGTCCCCGGAGGTAGCCCTTCTCATAGGGCGGGCGGAGTAATGGAGCCCATGGGGCCTTCCGAGGCTTCGCCCAATCTTATTACCAAACCAGGCAGCTAGTTTGGCTCACATTGGAATAGAAGTGGGAGGGGAGAGAGGTCTGCGAGAAGGGTGGGGCTGGCAAAGGCTGGGAGGGGGCACACAGCGTGCCCGCCCAAGCACTAGTGTGGTTACAAGCTCTTTGGAATGTTCGACAATGCTCCTTCTGCGCAAAAGAGTGACTGAAACAGATTAGTGTGCGCCTTGCATCCCGGTGTCTGAAATTAGTGCACAGATGTTAAGGCTCCTCCGTGATCCTTAAGGGAGGAGAACAAATTGAAACCCAGTATCCAGTTTTGACGAGAATGCTCTTTAGCATTTCCGCTGGTCTGAAGCCTGGTCAGGCTAGTAATGCCTCTCTGTGCATTAGGTTGAAATTTATTTGATGTGCGTGTATGTATACAGTGTTCTTTATGAGTGCATTTATTCTTTTCTCCAGACTGGGAAACAGGAAACCCATTCATTTCTTGAGTAAATGTGAACTAACTGGCTGCTGAAGAATGAGTGAAGAGGTGTGCCTGTTTTCAGCTCTGAAGCTGTTACACCTTAAATACAGCCAAAACCTTCTATTCTGTCTCTAGCACTCTGGAAATATGGAAGGGTGCTTTGACTTTTTCTTTCTTTTGATGCCTGCAAAACGTATTTATTGAATATCTACTACTGGCAATGGAGATATAGTTAAAATAGTATAGACAAAAGCTCTGCCTTGGAGTTTATAGTGAGGGGGACAGACCTAAACCTAAATCAAGACACAGAGGAATGCACAATTATGTTTATATATGTTTCATGAAGGACTATATGTTATATATGTTCCATAAGTTTATATATGTTCCATCAGGTTTTAAGAAAATATCTGATAAAAGAGATTGACAAGAACCAGGGAAGGTAGCAGACAGACACCTACCTGTACGGAGACCTGGAGGCTATATAGGGATTAGTTAGCTAATGAGAAGGAGAACTGTTTCAGAAGAGGGAATACCAAGTGC